ATTTATTCATATTTATTTCTCTTTAAATTGATGTGAATTGAGTTGATTTCATAAAAAATTTTAAATATTTAAATGCATTAATTATATTTATTTTCTTTTGAATTTTCAATTGACATATCTTTTATTTTCAATAAAATATCCTAAATTATAAATCAAAGCTAAATAAATGATGCATTATAATCAAAGAATTTCTCAATAATTCAAAGAATTAAAACACTATAATTAAGGTCATTAAACATTTTTAATTATTCAAAGAATTTCTATTGAAATCTAATAGGAAATATTATAAAAAGTTAATAATTACTATAATTACGGTCAAGAGTTGTCTCCTTAATCAATTATTTGATACATTCATATTTTATTAAATATGATATTCAACTAAGTAATAAATGTTTTATATATAATATAATAATTTTATATATTTATATCTTATATCTTATATAAATATATAAAAGCCAAAACTTTTAGCAAAAAAAAAAAAAAGTCCAATATGGATGGACTATAATATTGACATGTGGATAATTTTTAACAATCACCACGTGTCCTATATTAATTATATTTATTCATATTTATTTCCCTTTAAATTGATATGAATTGATTTGATTTCATAAAAATTTTAAAATATTTCAATGCATTAATTATATTTATTTTCTTTTGAATTTTTAATTGACTTTATTTTCTTTTGAATTTTCAATTGACTTACTTCTTATTTCCAATAAAATATCCTAAATTATAAATCAAAGCTAAATCAATGATACATTATAATGAAAGAATTTCTTAATGATTCAAAGAATTAATAAACATTATAATTACAATCATTAAATATTTTTTTAATGATTCAAAAATTTCCATTGAAATCTAATAAGGAATATTATAAAAAAAATTTTATAATCACTATAATTACGATTAATAGTTGACTCTTTAATCAATTTTTTGATACTCTCATATTTAATTAAATATGACATCCAATTGAGTAATGGATGTTATTCGTGTATAAATATATATATAAATAATATACTAATTTTATATATTTATATAAGATTAATGATACATTATAATGTTAGATTTTTGTCTTTGTTATAAGATTAATCATACATTATAATGTTAGATTTTATATATAAGGGTTGTGATCAATAAGTTGTGCATCCCATATACAGTAATTGCTCAAAATAATTCAATCAATAATATGGATCATAATTAAATCAATGATACAATATAATCAAATATAGAAGTCAATGCATATATATATATATATATATAATTAATTCTCCATTATTAATATTTCAATCTCAACCAATCTATCAAAATAAATATTTTCTTAAATTGACAAATTAAATCAATCAATATATTGTTATCATAACTAAATTAAATTTTTACTTAATTTTATAAATGATTCAAAGAATTAATAAACATTATAATTATGGTTATAAAAGATTTTGTTTAATGATTTAAGAATATCTAAAGAAATATAATTAATAAATACTACAATTACAATCATAAAAGAGTTTATTCTCCTATCAATTATTTGATACATTTATATTTGATTAAATATGGTATCTATTTAAATAATTGATGTATTTCATATATTAATATAGAAAAGCAAATATATCAAATTAATTATCCATAATTAAGTTAATGAAACAAAATATTTCAATCTCAATCTCAATCGATGATCATCATTTACTCACAATTTTTATTATTTCAATATTAACTTTCATAATTTAAAGTTGTTTCATTAATTAATGTACAACACACCTTTTATATAAATAGCTCTAGGTTTTTTATTTTGACAAGCAGTGCATCCCTAACCACATTTTACTAATTTTTTTATCTTTTGATTACCACTCAATTCCACTTCAATTTTCATTCCAATTTTCACTTTGCATCATTTCTTACTCTCCATTGCTCAAAGGTTTTATCACTTTATACTGATATTTTATAACTCTTTAGCCATGATATTAGCTTTCTTTTTTAAATACTTTTTGTTGTTTCTTAAGTATCATTTTGTTTTTATTGCAAAATTATAATTGATCTGTTTCATAAATATATATATATATATATATTAGTTTTTTTGGATTTATATGGCTTATTTAATAAATTATTTATATTTTACTGGTAACTAAAGGTTTCTATATGTAGTATGAACATAAAATTAAATAGACAAAGGAGAATGGCAATTTTAACACAAAAGCAATCTTCACAACATATTATGCCACGTAGACCAATTGAAAATAGATTTTGAAGCTCACATTCTATCATGAATATTGGAAGTTGCTCTAAATATCAATCAAGAACCATTCAAAAAACACAAAATACCAAAAGTATTTTTGAAGTATGAGATTTTTGAAACCAACTCAATTGTGCACTTACTATGGTGTAATACTTTGGTATGAAGAATATATAGTGAAATAAAAAAAGGTCACGATACCAAACTTACAGTGAATAAGGTGTATAATTTTGATGCTTAGTTTAAATATAAAAAATTATTGGAATAGTTATATATAAGCTTATTATAATGGTTATATTTGTTACAAAGTTATATAGTATAGATTATAATTGAAACTTTAATCAAATTATGTATTGTTGCTTATTTGTCTCTTTACCTCCATTTGTTAAATTTATTGACTTATCAAGTAAAAGTACACATTCTTCAAAGATAGTAGGAAATACTTAAGAATCAGATACCGCATTTTCACTCAAATAATTTATGAAAGAATCTCCTGTAAAAAAAGTTTGTGCATAAGATTGATTTCATGTTGACGAAAATTTTAATTTTTTAGAATCGAAAACATTATTGTCTTTTGTTTAGAGATTATTTGGATTCAACAAATTATAGTTTAAGTTTCTTTAAATTTGATAATAATTGCATAAGTATATTTAATATGTAATTAACTTAGTTTATTATATTAAAATATACAAAATTGAAATAAAAAAAATGATTACATAAATTTTGAGGTGTTCATAAATTTCAAAGCTTATATTGTCATTTTAGAAAAGAAAACTTTTATTATATATAAATTTATTGATATATGAATATATTTTCGTGTATTGCGCGTGTTTAAAACTAGTTAACATTTATTTTTAAAATGATTAATTGACTAAAATAAATTAAGAACCGAATCAAGAGTAATGGTATCTTAAATTGAGAGTAATTTATTATTGATAATTAGAATATTTAAGTATAATATGTATTCAATATATTTGGGAGAAATGAAAAAAGAGATTTTGAAATTAATATGATAATGATAATAAAATTAATTTGATTTGACATATTAAAATTAAATTTAATTGATTTGATCATCTATTAATTATTTTAAAATCAATATATTAAATATATCTTATATAAATATCCAAACATAAAATTTGGAAACAATATAATCATTTAAACAATTAATATATTTTTTATAAAAATAATTTATTAATTTTATTACTTTATTTAGACAAATTTCAACTATAGTTAAAATGGTACCACCTAATACTGATTTGATTTTTATATTATGTAGTTTTTCATATTTATAATTTAGCATCAAGTTTAATCTAAAAATAACCAACAACTGTGTAGGTTATTGGTATAATACTAAACTTTTAGTTAAGTGATCACGGTTCTAATTCTGATAACTTTAAATACTAAAACAATATAATCTAAAAATATCTATTAAAATGCATGTACATAGAAAAGCAAAAAAAAAAAAAAAATCAATAAATACATGACTAAAAATCATTTAAGACTTTAAAAGCTTGTAATACATAGATAGAGTCAAGGTGTGATAAAAATAATCTTAAATATTTTAACAATGCATTACTTTCATAAAATCATTTAAGGTTGAGCTTTCAAGATTAAAAAAGGTAAGAGCTTTTCTAAAGAATCATCCCTACACTTTTCTTTTTGCATACTTCTTTTTTTTTTTTCTTATTATCATTATTATTATTATTACTTTTCACATTCTTTTCATTTTTTCTTTTTCTTTTATTCTTCACAACTTTTTTTTTTCTTTTTGCAAGCTCTTTTTAGTGAATGATTTATATTATTGGCTTGTTAATCGTTTTAAAAAATGTCATGTTTCTTTTAATAAATGTATTTTATTTTATATATTTTTAATTTAAAAATTAATTCAAAAAATTAAATTAATTAAATTATTAATTTATTAATTGCTTTAAATTACTCTCATTGAATTCGTTGAAAGATGTTAAAACTTTGATTGCCATTATTAATAAATAAAATAACTTGATATCTCTTTTTTCAATTATAAATATTTAACTTTTGAATTATATTTATTAAAAAACATACTTTCCATTTTTTTAAAAATAAGACTTATTGGCTCTACCTTTTAAGCTATACGTGTGTGTATATATATATATATATATATATTTAATATATTAATTTTAAAAATGATTAGCAAATACTCAAATCAATTAAAATTAATTTTAATATATCAAATCAAATTAATTTTATCATCATTATCACATTAATTTCAAAGTATCTATTTTTTTATTTTTTTATTGCATACACATTATATTTGACTATTTTAATTATTAAGCATAAATTACTCTTAATTTAAAATATTATTACTCTTGATTTAGTTTTTAATTTATTTTAATCAATTAATCATTTAAAAATAAATATTAATAAGAATCATTGAATTGAATGTGTTTTACAATAATAAAAATAAGATATTGTAAATTAAATTTATTTTATCATTAAATTTAAATTTTAAAATGTATAATTAATTTGGAATATATATCAATTTTTTAAATTATTTACATATTCAAAATATAAACTATCCATATCAATTTTTTTTAAAATTTTAATTTTTATAAAATGTACATTAAAAAAATAAATAAAACTAATATAGAAGGACAATGTGAGTCAACGCGGTCTGAGATTTCAAATAAACTTGAGCGATTAAAGAGCGACAGCTGTCCAACTGCAGAATGTTGACCTAATTCTGTTTTCAGAGAATCTAAAAGAACGTTTCCTCGTGATTAGTATGTTGGTGCAGATATTTTCTTCTCTCACTTCATTGTGACGATTTTGATAATAGAGGACAGAACGTTTCATTTTTTGGTTTAAAAAAAGAAACAGATCTATCTCCACTTCCTTTTACCCTTTTTACTGTGTTCTTTCTTCTCTGCATCTTCACTTTGAATTTCATTTTTTTGTACAGTGTCATTCTGCAATTGCTTTCTTTGAGCACTTTCATTGCGATCGCTGCATATTAATGGTTGTGTTAAGGGCTTTTTCTTTGTTTTGATTCCCATTCCCTTTAGTATTTTTTATTTTTTGCCTTTCCTTTCTCTGTTTTTGTTTTTATTTTATTCCGTTTCTTGATATGCTGTTTTCTAATGCTTTTAAGAATATGTTAAGTCCGTGTATTCAAAAGCTTCTTCGAGAAAGTGCTTAATTCTATACTTTTATTTCGTTTGCTTTTGAAATATACAAGTTCACGTATGATTTGATTTTCTATGTTGTTTGATTCTTTTTAACTTCTTTGGATAATGTTATGAGTTTGATGTGTTTTTTTTGTACTTTATTTGTTGAGTTTACTCGCGGCCTTTTGTTTCGATTTTTTTAATGTTATTTTTTTTCTTTAATCCGTATTTTGGAAAGTTTATTAATTGCTATTACTAGCTTCATTATACTATTCATTTTTACTTCACTGAAATTGCATGCGATAAACTAAAAATCTTCAACAAAATGTTTTTGTTTTGTTGATTTTGATCTTGGTGGTTGTGGCCGGTGGTTGATGGTTCTATGTGTAGGGATTATTAGAGATGCTACCCATAACTGAGAATTGAGAAGTGGGATTGATTATCTTTTCAAGTTCGAGTGCTGTTATTGTATGGTTAAATTGTCAAGGGATAGTATTGCTTTAATGAAAATGAGTTGGAATTTCTGTAGAATACTTTTGGATAATGAAAAAGAGAAAAGGGAGTAAGGAAATTGATTATGTTTTCAAATGAAGAAAACAAGTAAGAAATCAAATTGCTGTCTATAAGACATGCTATCTGGATTCGTCTTATTAGACCATAATGTCTGATTTACTTTTGGATAAGCTTAATGGAGGTAAAATATAAATTGCTGCACTATGAATTGTCTATTTGTGGTACAAGGTTATTTAATGCATTCAGGTTGTACTTTGTTTGTCATATTGGATTAGAAACTAATTTTAATTGAGTTTCTATAATGCTGTCATTTGCGTTTCCTATCTTTGTAATAATTAATTGAAGTTCTAACCTATATTAATGTGTAAAATATTGCTTAAAAATCTTTTTCCTTGAATTATTCTGAATAGGTGTACCATCCTTAAAGTTATAAAAGAAGTGTTTTATCATTATCATTGCTCATTAAATTCGATTTCCAAAAAAAATTTATGCGATTCATTTTTTTTTTTTTTTTTTTTGGGATAAGAAATAGTTGTTGCCTCTTCGGTGAGCTATGGTTTTATTATCATAATGATATTTCATCCGGGGGATTGGGGAGGGGGTTTAATAGATTTGTATTGATTGATTTTTTTTTTTGGGGTGTATTTACATATAAGGGAATCGCTAAAATAGTTTGATCAATTGACCTCTAAGTTATGCTACCAGTAGTAATTTGTTAAAATTTTATTGTTGTTGTGATATTTGAATTCAGTAACTGGTCATTAATCTTTTCTCCTCTGATAATCCTTTTGGGTTCTTAGGTGAAGTATTCAAGCCGTAAGAGTAGCACTAAATAAATTCCTTAACCTTGATGGAAGTACGAGTCCAGTTTGTAAAATTTTCTGTTCTTTATTGGCATGTCTGTTGGCAACTCTGTCTACATTGTTTGCATTCAGGATGCAAGTGTCAAATATGGTAATTGTCCACCACAAATACATTCAATCTTCTTAATTTTTCCCTTATACTTGGAGGATCACCCTTGATACCCATGTAATCTTTGAATTGTCCAGTACAGGTGTGCTAGGAAAGTAAAAGAGTTGGAGCAACATTATATGGATTGTTCAAGGGCTGATATTTTATAATTTTAAAGGTTTTGTAGTGAACAGAATGGGTTTTTTTTTTTTTTTTCCCTGAAGTTTAAGGATATTTAATGGATAGTTTATGGCTTTAATTTTCATTAGATCATGCTCTGTATTTCTATTTCAAAAGTAACTTAATTGTCAGCTAAAACTGAACTCCTAGAATTGTCACTCCAATGCGTACCCTTTGTCTAATCCTTATCAGTTGAAGGAAGCATGATCGAACTCTATTAGAATCTTGATTTTTTAAAAAATCTTTGGCATCATATTAGCTTCTGATAGATTAGAATCTGTCTCAAATAAGATATAATTAAAAATGGCTTGCATAAACTCATTATGCAAATTAGTACAACATGATGTATTTGAAAATTTTAAGTGCTTGGTTGTCTGATTTTATTGAAAATTCTAGCTATGCCATGTCTTTGGTCTGAAAATTGATTTATATTAAGAAGCAGCTTCAAAAAAATTCAATAGAAGGATAACAAAGATAGTGGTTAAAACTTAGGTACTTCAAGGGTAGGTAAACAGACAAAAAAGTGCACCCCATGCTGAAAATTTTGGAAACTCTTCATATGTACCTTACAAGGGCCTTGAAAAGATTATTTATAGTTAGTATTTAGTAACTTTAGGGTCCTGATCTCTGTGATTACTTGTACATTCCTTATACAGATTTCCAAGCAAGTTAAACTCACATGCTTATCACTTGAATTTTGAGAATATGAAGGTTTTTAAATAGAAAGTTGAAAATGTTTAGCAGTATACTTTTTACTTTATTGTTTGTGTGTACTAGTCCAATTGGACCAAGGAAATCCAGTAGTTTTGGGCCGCTATCTGGCTAAAGGGGCTGTTGTAATGGTGGTGGCATTGCAAGTAATTTAGGTTTGCCTCAAGTCAAGCTTTACTTGTTCTTTTGTTGTTGGTGGAGATCGAGACTTGGAATCTTTGGTTGTAGCATTAGTTATTTTTATATGATACAGATATTTAGAGCTTTTTTTGAGTTGATAGGTGGAGCTAGAAGCTGACTTAGAGGTATAGAGTTATATAGGGCAAACCTGTTGGGGAAGTCCAAAGCTAAACCTTGTAAAAAACCATGCGAATTAAGAAGATTATGTGCTTGGAAAATTTGGGTGTATGATAGATTTAGTTTAGTTATTTTCATTGGATATTCATTAAATTAGAGTTAAATATCTTACGACTCTTATTGTTGAGAAATAAATACGTGAAGTCTTTGTACATTTACCTTACTATAGTTGCCAAATGTTTACATCATTCTAGGGTTTACTTTTCATATTCCGTAGCACTGCTGATTACTCTAGGAGTTGTTCTGTAATTTTTGTTTTTCATATTTATTTTCAAATAGGCTTTGATGGCTTCTATGTGGCATTTGATTTAACTGCACAATTAGAGAGGAGAGGAGAATGTGATCTTATAGGAGCTTGAAATCCAATTGTTTGGTCCTGGCATACCAGTTTAAAAATTTGGTTCAATGGTTCTTCATTTATAGCATTGAAACATATATCGACCTTTCAGTTTGGATTATGGGAACTACCTTTCTTCTAATTGAAGGCAAGCACATACTTGAGTGGTGCTAAAATTTTGATAGATTTGGTCATTTATTAAACTTATAGGTTTGTGGTCTTTTGTTGTGGTAGCATATAGCCTGTTTGATTTAAATAGATATAAGTCATTTAATGTCTTGTGCTTAGAATCCTTAATTCTTAAAATTATGTTTTACCTTGTGCCTCTGGCTTTCATCTTAGGATCAAGTAGCATAAATAATTGGTTGCTCTTTATCAATAGCTTACCTTCTTCTGTCTCTAATTATTTTTTAAAAATTATTTCAAATAACAGAAATGTAGTTTTCGTAAGGGTTTATCTACATTCAAACTGAGTTGTTTTTTTATTAATCTGCAATATAATGCTTTGTGCTCAATTACTGTCTCAATGGTTTGTTGTATGACTTATAAGCGTAAGGACTACATGGTTTCTGTGGTATAATAGAGAAAATTAGTTCTTGTTAATAGTTATCAGAAGGCTTCTCTTCCATTATTAGTTACTTAAGTCCTTAAAATATCATTGGACAAACTAGTTAGCTAAGACATGCTCACATCACCTCAATGGCTCTAAACCTCAATTGGGATCTTGTCATATCATACAAGCTGGAATATCTTCACTTATCTGGGTGTTCATGTACTTCTGCTTGATTATGTTATTCCATCTTGGAGTTGGAAAATTACCTAGAATCATAACTTTAAATCCCTTTTCATTACTTGTCTTAAGATATTGGCGAATTTGGGGAGCACTTTGCCTGCAGTCAGCAGATGACAACTTGTTGAATGGATGAACCTGTAAAGCACAATAATTCTCCATATTATAATTCAAGGAAAAACAGCATATATGTTTTCTTGAAGCTACTGCCTTAACTTTTCTGGAAGAAAAATTTTCTCCTGTAACTGATACACATACTGACAGATCTTCTCCTCATGCGTTTAATGCATCATGTTTAATTTTCTCATCTTGGAATGTGAGCCCAAATATCATGATTATCATGTTTATCACTGCAATAAATCCATGTGCTTTTTTAGTCAGATGCAATGTGCAGCCTAAGATTGTAAAAAATAGATTTTTTACCTTATAGTTCTGAAGGGGGTACTTACCTGACATCCTGCCTGCCAACATGCCACTTCTGGCATTTATGACTACATTTCTGTTTAACTAACATGAATCGGATTCAGGAGAAGAGTGCTGATACTATAAAAACATTGAAAGTTTCAAGGGTTCAAGACTTCTGCACTGAGCACGAGAACTGTTCTTTACCTGCCTGCTGGAAATTAATTATGCTAATTATGTGTATGGAGTGGGTTTCAAATTTCTTGTAGCTCCTTTTCCTGTGAGGATATTATAGTGCGAGAATATGGCTACCTTTATTGTTATAACTCTTTTCCCAGCCTCCCATGATCCGAATAGTTTTTCTCCTTTTGCTCAATTCTACGAAGCAGTTCTAATTATATTCTGTTTTCATATCTACGTTTGATGTATGCATGAATGCCTACAGTTGACTACAACCTTTTCACATACTATGTAATTATATCACCTATTATCATCACATTTATCAGTATGAATTATTTGATTTCAAGTAGTTGTTGATTTTCTCCAATATAGTCAATACAATTACTGACGAAGATGAAACTTAGTCGTATAACCTTTGTATTTGACCTTGAGGATTGATAAAAGGTAAAATTACTGAGCAGTAAGGAGTACGCTGCTGAAATGGCGACTATACCGGCAAGGTAGTGTGCTAAGAAAGTTTTGGCCTGTCTAGATCAGTTACTAAAGCATGTTTTTTGTAATGTAAATCCCGCAAATCATTTCTTATTTTCAAACGAAGTTGCTTGTTATCCTGTTAGTGCTCTATTAATTATGTATATTCAGTTATCAGTTCATTTGATTCCCCCCCTCCCACTCCCTTTTTTTCTGTTTTAAGTTTTTTCTTTCATCAAGGTCAAGGATGCGAAGCTATAAGCAAAAAGAAAACCAATCTAAGAATTTTTTTATTGGATAAAACACGTAGTAAAATTGCAATTTGCAGTCAGTAAATCAATTTTGTTGAACACAATAAGTTCACAAGGCAGCAGAGTAACACCAGACACAAACAGTGCATTCTAATAATTGTGTAAATTACACAGGATAACTTGTTTCTCTGTTCATTTTACTGCAATTCTAAAGTTTTAATTTCATATGAAATCCTTTTCTTTATGCTGAACATACTCTATCTAATAGCTGGAATACGAAAGCTCACTGGTAGAAGCTTTAGTTTTTAATCGTGGACAAGTTGTTGATAGGTTGCTGATGATGTCCATTGACGGTTGTCTGGCCAGCTTGCTAATGCAGTTGTAATCTGTTGCAAATTTAAGAATTTATTTTTAGATTGATATTGAAGTAATTTGCTTTCTTAGTTTGTTTTATTTACTGTAGTTTTTAAAACAGTATTGAGTGGAAGAATTACCCCAAACTTTGTTGATTTTGCCAGTGCATCATTCTTAGGAGGTTGGGGCTGGCTTAATTGGAGATGAACAGGTGCGTGCAAATCATATCTGATGTTGAAAGTATAATTTGGGTGCGAGCTTCTGCTAGCTCCATTTGCTTCCCTTGTTCCATAAACCTGAGACGCAAAAATTGTGCTGTAGATTATCAGGAGGAAAAATTTTCATTTGCTTAAATTTCAAGATTATTTTAGGGGTCTTATGGCCTAGTGGTTTTAGTTTGTCATTTTCATTCTATTACCTTATGAGAACCAAGGAAAAGAGAGGAAGTATGAGTCATAGGTGAATATGAAATATTCTTAGTACTTATCTATTTATCTAGGCCAATACCTTCTTTTGAAGTTCAGTATTTTCTTGGCGGAGGAGGTCTACCTTGTTATACAGTTCTAGATTCTCCTGATGAATGAGGTGTCCCTGCCATTGAATAAAGGAAAATTACACAACCAGAAAATATCTACAGATGTAAATCTGAAAAAATAAAATTGCAGCAAAACTTTCAAAGAAACCTTGCTGTTTAGCTCTTTGATTTCGTCTGTTCGAATTTGGTCCTACAAGAAAAAAATAACAGAGGAGCAGTTGCATTAAATATTATCATCTGATCTTGAATGCTATAGGTAAAAATTTCATCCAATTCTGAAGCTGTCATACTTTTTTCATACGGACACTTTTCAAACTCATTTCAAGTTGGTTTTCCAGGTTCTGTAGATCTTTGACACTTAAACCAGATAGTTCTTCTCCCATCAATTTCCTGAAACACATCACAATCGAATGTTACGTAAGCTATTGTTTATCTTATGTTCTGGATGATCCCAGTATGTCATGTTTTAAAGGTTCTTATAAGCCATCAATAGTGTCCTATTAAGAATTCTGTTAATAACAGTGTTTTAAGTGATCTTACCTTTTTTAATATCATGTTATGCATGTCATACAATAGATACTTAACATTTTATGAAACCCCGATAGCAAGCATTGCTGTTGATTTTGTGTTTTATGCTATCTAGCCTTGAAAATTCCTTGTTTTAGTGGTTTGTTTATAAAATTATACATGAGATCTGTATTAAAGGATGGATCAGATCCAGTGACAATTGACAAAGATGGGAGCTAGTTTTGGTCTTTTGGGATTGGCCTAAAATCTAATTCCAAAATCAATTGATTTTAGTTTTCCTTTAAGTCCATCATGTAAGTTGGTGCTTTTTCTTATGTTGAAATAAGAGAATTCTTATCCATGTTCACCCTAAAGTTTGAGGCTAGTTGTGTTAGAAACAAGTAGAGAAGATGCTTGAGGTTTACATATAACCAGTACAATCATGAAGAAAATGATATGTGGCAAAACATGGTGACTTTAATATATTTGTTTGGGACAATATTTTTTTTAGTTTTTGGAATTGCTTGTTGAAAAGCTCAATTTGCTAGTTGAAAACATAATTCATAAAACATTTTGTTATATGCAATGGGACAGTGGGACATAATCAGAGTTTGGAACCCTTTGATTACTACATTCAAAAGACCTAATGTTTACTAAGCTTACTGAGGATATGTAAATATAAATAAAATAAGATTTTATAATTAATTTGTTTATTGATAGGGGACTGTTCAAAGCTTTGAAAAACTACAAAACAACAAAAAATGAGATATTTATAAGCTAGAAAGTTGTCTTCTACCTCACTTGTTTTTTGCATCCAAAAAAAGTTCAACATAACAAAAGTAAAGGATGAACCGGTACAAAACTAAAGGAATAATCAATACAAAAATGAACATAGACAAGAAAATTTGTGAAAAAGAATGCCAAAGAAACAGTGGGGTTGGACCGCCATTTTCTTCCTTCAAAGCTCACACATATTCAAGCGAGCAATTGTTTTCTTTGTATTTTGATAGTTGGTGATTATGATAGAGTATTTATTTAGTATTTGAAAATTTTTATACTATAAAATTATTTGGTGTATGCAGAGAAATAACCAAAGAGTTTTTTGAAAATAAAGAACATTGTCAATTCTGAAGGGAGATTATTGAGTGAAAGATTGTTTGGTTATATATATATATATATATATATATATATGTAGAAGTTTTTTGGTATTGATAATTAAAGAATTTTATTATGCTTCCAAGCTATGAAAAACCTAGAGAACATTTGTAATATATTATATTTAAAAAAAGAAACATAGCAATTTTTGTTGTACTTGAGTTAGTTTGTATTTAACCATTTGTATATTTAATATTATATATTCATTTGTCCCGATTGAACTTAAATCTTGGGTCCATCCCTGACATTCATTGTACTTGTATATTTTAAGAAAGGTAAGCAGAGTTACACATTGAAACTTAGTTCTAAAAACAATGTAGCTGATGCATTTATTACTATCAAAAAATTTTGAAGTTGGGGCATGATTTGTGCACTTCTCAGCAAATTTACAAAGATAAAAGTATTGTATAGTCTACAAAAGCAGCTAACTTCTTGCATTAAATCTATACGTTCAGAGATTGTTAAAGAGTGTTTTAGTGATGAATTAGTGGAGGTTTTTAGTACCTGTGGTATTCTTGCAAGTGTTGTAGTTGTTGCCTCAAGCTTGCTGCCTCCCTTTGCCAAAACTATCAAGTACAAAATCAATTATTAAATAAGAAAGACATATTCTTGAATGTGATGTATTATATGTAAATTAGTATCATAAGAGATGTAAATATTGAAGTACATGATGAAAAACTTGGGAGATTAGTCTCCATTCAATGACAATACAATGTCAACTACTTGTGAGTTACTTGGACTTGACTTAGTTACTCTGACTCAAACTCATTTTGTTGTTGAGCTCACATAAAAAATAAGCAAGTAGAGTGAATGCAAGTGGTTTAATACTTAGACTGAAGCTATTTGCAAGCCTAATTTAGCATTTGAATTTTCACATATTTTATTAAAAGGCTTGGTCTCAAGCGTGAGCTAGATTCTCCTTTGATGATAATAAAGCTGAATTAAGTTGAGTGTTGACTAAATTTGATGCAGAATGTGTATGCTTTTAAAACTTCTTGAACAGGCAAGGTTTTAAACTGTTATCTGTCTCTAACATCATGCTTGATAGGAAGGAAGACAGACAAAAGGGAGAAAATTGAGGAATGGAAAGAGGGAAGAAAAGGAAGGAAACTCAGTTTTTTTTCCTTCCCTTTGTTTGGTAGAGGAGATACTAAATGAAGAGAAGCAAAGTTAACGGTAAACTTGTGAATGTAATTATGATCTTAGTTGAATGAGTGGTTTCCTTCCACTTGTGCAAGGATTGGGTTTTGAGAGAATGGAAAGGTGCAAATTCACTCATTTTCCACTCTATATTTCCTTGTGAAGGAAAATAAGGTCTCTTCCATCTTTTCATTCCAACTCTTTTCTTCCTCTTTTTCTGCTTCCAAACAGTTTTTTTTTTTTTTTTTGACTTTGGGTTAGATTTTATTTGTCTTTGTTGTGCCAACATTCTAAATTTTAGAAATTTCTACATAACTATCATTGAAAAAATGAAGAATTGGCTATGTATCTATATTGTCCTAACGTTGTCTCTTATATCTCATGTTACTCTTGTTTGTGTCTTGTTTTTTCTTGGAATTTATGCTATGTTTGGTAGGAAGGATGAAAAATTTTTTAATCTAATGGTTGAGATTTATAAAACATGTACTATTTTGTAGCTCAACTATTAGATTAATGCTTTTTCCATCCATTCCTCTTTCTATTCTTCCGACCAAACAAACAGCAAAGATTTATGATCTCCTCTTAATACTTGGTTCCTTAAGACCATGATTAGATGGAGGTAATATTTCTGTTGATGTAGTGACTGCAAATCAAAATCTGTAAACATGAAGTTCTTTCTAAAAAGTTTGAGTGTGTTTTTTAATGATAGCTACTATAAGTTTGTTATTGGGATAAGGTATATATTTTGCTAACGGCTGAAGTGTGGTGGTTTATTTGCTGAAAACTTGCTTTCAAATGATTTGGTGGTCTATAGGTCATCACCTTAAGATTGTGGTTGTTAGAGGGTAAAGGACTTACACTCATCACTCGAGCCATAGGTGTATTTATGCAATGTCCTGGTGAGGTTGGGATTAGGCTATGGCTGCAACCTCATGAGGGAGTGCTCATGTCCATGCAGCAAGCCCCTAAAGAAAGGCACATTGTTGGTAAGTTTTTGCATTCAAGTCTTTCATGACATTGATTCCTTGGTAGGTAGGGCTCCTATGCCACACCCAAGGAGATTTGTAATTACTGGTAATTTCCTTTTCCATTTATCTATTTATGAAAAAGAGGTTATATAGGTTGTTAGCATGTGCCGGCTAGTAGATTGGCTATTGAAAAATAATATACTATTTTTGAAGGAAAAATAATTTATTTTAATTTCATAATGTTTTTGTTTGGGGGACAGGGAAGGGTCGAAGGGGACTTGGATTTGCGAAGAGTGCAAAAAGGTTATGTGTAGCTTATTGAAGTCATCTTATGCTCTTTGGAGGAATTTATTTATGAGAGTGTAACAAGTTATTTGTCCTCCACCATTGAAGTCACTCTGCCCCCTCCTAGTTTTTATGCTTATAGTGTGGTCAAACTTGGTGCTTTCTAAGGAGGAGAACAATGTTCCTTTCATAATCTTTTTGAGTATAGAGGTATGATCAGCTGATATGTTCATTGCGATTTATTACAGTGTATTTTGTGCTATATTGGCATTTTGTGACATTTGCATATTGATGCCTCTTATCTCTTGTTTGCTATTTGGTCCTCACTAACAATAACTTTAATTCACCACTCACAAGCAAATGGGCTAGAAATCAATCCTAGATATTGGTTTAGACTGATTTTCCCAATCACCACCCAAGTGGGCTGGTGAATTACCCTTTTTTTGTTTGGCCACATTGAGAGCACCTGCACTTCAGCTATAAGAAATTTATTAAGACTTTGTTGTTGACTGTACCATCTATTGAATATCCTTGTTTGAATTTACTGCAACAATGCCCGTGTTAGCTTGTTAACTGTTTTAATAAGATATTTGAAAGAATAATGATATTTGGATGCTAAGTGTGTTATCTTCCAATGGCTAAATCTTGGAGGGCTGACAAAATTCATGATACAAGAATGCAAATTGATAGCAAGGTATATCCCATGAAAAATGATACTAAGCTATTTCAAAAATACAACTGCCGAAGTGCTATGGGCATGCATATGCGATTGAGCGGATAGATTTGTTGATCAGAAAAATGAGTGTCATGCTTTGAAGTTGTTTATGCCTTCATGAATTCGACTTTAGACTAAAAAAGAGATACTTGATCCCATAATGCAAAGCAAGGAAACTTAGTGATTGCCTTGTGGAGCAGTGTCCTGACCTACTTGAGGTAACAAATAGTGGATTTGCTGAATGTATGATAGGATTGTTGCTTTAGATTTAGAGCAGAGGGTGGCAGCTTAGTTAGGAAAGACAGTAGTTGGCTAGAAGTAGTGATGGAGTCTACTGAACATAAACCTGCAGATGCAGTGGAAAAACACTTGTAAGTGACTTTGGGTACACCAAAGGGAGGTTATGATTTTTGAATTGTAATGTCACTTCTGAGAGTATTTAACCATCCAAGGATCTGATTGGGGCAAAGGAAAATCAATCTGCAATGTAAACCGTGAGTATGCTTTTCTTTAAGATCCTTTACTAAAGCTTTTCTTGAAGATCCTTTACTAACACCATCAATGATAGTTTGATAAAAATGCTCAATATCTGGCGACCCTTCCAAATATTTTGTGGCATCCAGTTGGTGGTTGTGGTAATTTTTGCCTTTCGACTTTAAATATTGGTGTGCAACAACAGCATGGGAGATTCAAGTATGAATCTCTGCCATTAGCATAATTATTACTGACATTTCACCTGGTAGTTGTTACTAATCTCTTCTACTAATGGAAAAATTCAGGTTTCTTGTCTTGCTATTTAGTAGTAAATCATGAATGATGCAGCAGGAATTCATTTTTGTGGTCCACTTGAGGTGCCACCAATATACTATCATGGAGACTCCGAGAGGGGTTGCAGGGTTTAGTCTTGTAAAGCCTTTGTGTGATGGTTTCTTTTACCCTTTGACTGAGAAGGAACACCATGATGGTTTTGCTGAAAGGGAGATACTCGTACGCTTGGATGGTTTTCATTTTTCAATATGTTGAAGTTTTCCTCACACTACATTTCTTGGTTAAGATGTGCTAGAAACTCCTTGCTGAAGCTGATATATGAGACGTAGCTGAAGTTTAAGACATTTTTGTGGCATCATTTCTTCTCAATCTCATATGGTTTGCAGGTAATAGACTTTTTCCTTAGCACAATGACTGGCTTGGATTTGCACACTATTCATTCATAGATCTATGGGTGCCCATGCTGGAAACAATGCTTTACACTCCATGAGGAGAAAGAGGAGCCCCCTCGTGCCAGTTATGTAATACATCTTACTGTAAAACTTGGTAAGCATGAGCTTAACTCAGTTAAGTACCCTTATCAATCCCTTTGGTTCATCTAAGAGATCTGGTCTGTTTTGATATGTTTACCTATACTGTTTAAACCAACTTCCAGCATCGAGGATGTAAATCTTGCTTTACAGTTTTTCAAAATAGAGCTGTAGTGATATTCCAAAGCCTTCTAATAGGAAGTTTTTGGTAGATTTACGTTAGCTCTCGGCCATGCCTTGTTGCAAGCATATTGTTATGCACTAGGGGATGGGATATTTTTCTTATGCTGTGTGGAGCAGCAGTATATTTTCATGGTATGTTTTTGGAAAGTGGGAAGCTGATGACCGGCAGAGATCTTATATAGTCCTTAAATGACTATATCTACGGGAAGTTGGAAATATGACGAATTTTCCGATTGTCTGGCAGCACAACATGCCATCGGTATGTCTTTTTCTTCCCTTCAGTGCTCCACTTGACAATAAATGAAGTATCAGCCAGGTTCTTTATTTTCTGCTTCTCTTTCTTTTCTTTGATGGTCCTAATTTCGGAAGAAAGTTGGTCATAGCTTCACATGAGCATGGTTTCTGTTTTGTTGCTTGGTGGTTCATCCAATTTGTTGTGCCTCTTTTTGTAGTTTTCCATTTACTTGGTACTAGTGAGAAGCATGCCTTTGAAGCAGGAAGTCATATTGTTATTAGGTATTCTGAAATCGTTCGGAAAAAGAAAAAAACAATGTAGATGATCGTCACTATAAAACCACATATCGCCAACAAGATTAAAAACTTCATCGTTGTGTTCACTGATGTTTATTGAACCTTTAACCAAGACAGTGAGTTGCTACATGTCCAGTTACCTTGAGTTGTTATGCGCAAAAGTATAATGAAAAACACAGTCATGTCAAAGGTTTAATTATTTCTAGGCAAAAGTGGACATTTTAAAATATTAGCCAAACCCAGAAGTTAAGTCTTTTTTATGATGTTCATTTCCTTCACTAACTGCAAACTATGGTTTTTTTTTTTTCCTTCCAAAACTTGATCACTTGCTAAAGAGAAAGTAGGGAAAGTGCCAATTAAAGCAATTTAAAATTTCAAACTATAAGCATATTACTACTTTCAATGTAATGGCAAGGCTAAGAGAAAGCAACCGGAGTTTCGTAAAAAAAACAGAATGTGTGTGCATGGTTTAGATAATGAAATGAATACGAGGATTTGTAAGCAATTATGAGACGGTAATTTGTGGAATAAATGGAAGTAAGTGAAGGAAAATTACCTTGACTTCAGAAGCGGGATTCATTAGTTGATGATGTTCTTTTTGGTTGTTGTAGCGATCGATGACAGATTTCATGCTGATAAAAGTGAGTCAACATCAGTATTGTAAAAGGCGGATGCCACTTCGTAGTTCCTGTCGGTACACTTGATGGATTTGGGCACTACCTTACTTTTGCACAGTGATTGTGTTTCTAAGCATTACTAATTTATTATTATTGTAGTGGCTAATTTTAAGAAAATATGAACGTATCTTCCAAATTACCTAACCAATGAAAGAATAAGGATTTAAAGATCAACAACTTACTTTATGGTATGAGATGATGATGATGATGAAATTAATTAAGAGTAATTAGTAGATGAAGGAAAATAAAAAAAAATGCACGTAATAATTAGTTTATTATTAACAGCTTGTAACTAATGTTATCATGGTAAGCAACTGTCTGTCTTATGATAAACTAGTCTAGTGTAGCTACAAATAAAATTCTGGCAAGAAATGACTAAATAATTAACCTTTTTGCTAAGTACATTAATGGTTGAATCTATCATAGGTTATAGATCAATTATTCAAACAAACCTTCAGTACATCTTTCTGCCATCATTAACACTTCGAATTAAAGAGTAGCAATTAATGTTATTAATATTAATCTCAAGTGAAAGCGAAATTTGGTGAGAAATTACATCTTCCATCTTCATCTGAATCAACTCACACCTTCTTAGATTTTTGAATAATTAGATTCACACTTTGTATGTAATGCAAGTTACTTATTTTTCAAATATGAGGATTTGAAAAATCATTTCATATACTTTGTTCATTAGAACGAGAGAGAAGGAAATGCATTAATCATTTACCTGTTCAAAGATTGCATATTTTATCATTTTTCTTTTGTACAAAAGAGATTACTCTAAAAGATGTTATTGGGTTTTATACTTGTCGAGAGTTTAGTATGAGGTGTGTGTAATTATTTTTTGATTTTGTTATTTTTTTAGAATTCTTACAAGATATTAGGATTATATATATTGCTCAAAGTTAGGAATTTTTGCCCCCATAAACTCATCTACTTAATTAATAAACTCATCTACGTTATATTGCTTATAAACCAATAAAAAATGGAGCCTCAATATTAAGTTAGTTGGTATCCACCAATTTAAGATCCATGTATAGTGATCTAAAGGAAAAACTATTAACAATATAGGATGTTTTTAGTGCTTACTCATGTTCATGCATGCATAAGCACATTCGCAAAATACTTAAGTTTCATCATACAATTCTATTGTAGAAATCTGATTCTCTTACATTAGTGTAGATCCAATTCTTCTATATTAATGCAGTTTAATTTTTTAATTTATTTTCAAAATATTTCTCATTTACTTTTCTGAATTAGTCAAGTATTCTAATTATCAAGTTTTTAGGGATTTGTTTTTATTTTAAAATAGAATAATTTTTCTTTTTTTAGTATTTATTATTTTTTATTTCATGTAAGTTGTTTCCTAATAAGGAACTTCACTGTTCTTATTTATTTAGATGTACTCTTTATTGTTGATTGAATAAGAAAAAAATAAGGACAATTGTTATTTAAGTTTTTTTATATGGTATCAGAGCTAAGATTTATTTTCATTGCCCTTTCTTAATTTGTTACGTGGAAGGTTTTTTTCATCTTCGCCTACACATGATAAGAGCTTGTTAAAGTGGATTTTTCACATCTAATAAATTTCTAATATCCTCCAGTCTTATATTTAAGTTGGACCCCTTCATTTACTATAATTTAGTTTTAAATTAGATGCTTAACATGATATCATTAGACTGTAACCACACGAGTTTCCATTATGACTAACAGGATTGAGAATTTTTCTTCTGCAGAGGTATGGCATGAAGAAAGTAATAAATAGGTGAAGCTTCAACAAATCCTTCAAAACAAGTTTGCAACCTCTGAAACTAGTTTACTAGCACGAAAAAGTAATTTCCTAAATGCATTAAGTGTTCAACGAGAAAATACACAACCTTGGATTATTGATTCAGGAGCATCAGATCACGTGATTGAATATGCATTCTTATTCAACACATAAGTTTTGCTATGATAATTCTACTGTAAAAATTACTGATGGTTCTCTCTCAAAGATGGTAGGAACATGTTTTATTGTAGTTTCAAAAAACATAACACTCGACTCTGTCCTTCATGTCTTTAATTTAAGTTGTAACATATTTTTCATCAGTAAGCTTACAAAAGATAGATGTTGTGTCACTAAATTTTTTAGCTTATGAGAATTTTAGGAATTGGGCTCAAGGAGGATTATTGACAGTTCTAGGATGTCTGTAAGGCTTTATCTTTTTCAAGATGATACACTTGAGGGACCATAAAACTCTTGTACAGTCTTAACCTCTAGTATTGGTAAGGATGACCTTATCATGTTATGATATTATAGATTAGGGCATTCAAATATTTCATACCTATAAATGTTATTTCTTTCATTATTCAATAACATCTCTAAAGATTTTCAATGTGAAATTTGTTAACTTTTTAAGCACACTCAAAATATTTACCCTAGTTTTTTCTATAAATCATTTCGGCATTTCGGCATTTCTCAATGATTCACAATGACATTTGAGGATTGTCAAAAGTTAACAATATCACAAGTTTTAGGTGGTATATTACATTCATCGATGATTATACTCGATTCACTTGGAAATTCCTTATGAAAAAAAAATCCAAAGTTAACCAAATCTTCCAAAACTTCAATAGCATGGTACAAATTTAATTTCAAGCCAAAATTCAAGTTCTAAAAACTAACAACGAAAATGAATACTTCAACTTTATTCTTGATCCTTACCTCAACAATCATGGTATTATCCATCAAAGCTTTTGCGTTGATACTCCACAATAAAATGGGATTGTTGAATGTAAAAATAAACATTTGATAAAAGTGACAAAATCTCTCTTGTTGATTTTCAATGTGCCTAAATATTTTTGGGAAAAAGCTATCCTCACTGTAACCTATTTGGTTAACCGAATACCTTCTCGAGTTCTTGGCTTTAAAATAACTTAGCAAACTCTTTTCGTTTTTTACCCACAAACTTGGTTGATCTCTTTCATTCTTATCAAACTCTTTGGCTACATTGCCTTTGTTTATGTTAGTCAATAAAATCATAGCAAGTTTGATCCCAAACCTTTAAAATGTGTATTCTTTGGTTATTCCCAAAATCAAAAAAGTTATAGATGTTACTCATCCATCACATAAAGATTTTATAACTCTATGGATATCACCTTTTTTGAGAATCTTTCATACTACAGTAAGAATGATATTCAATGAGAGAATACTACTCAATAATATCAATTCTTAGTTGTTGACTTACTAATTTTTCAACCAACCCCTTCAAAACTAAATTCTCAACTAGATTTCCCAACCAACCATTTCAAAATTAGAATATCAACTAGCCCATTTAAAATTAGATTCTCAACCTGCCTAACCTATTAGTCATTTAGATTCAGAAATCCAACCTATTCAGACAACTTTTAACTCTACAAACCTAAAGGTTATGCAAAAAAAAAAAAAAAATGAATAGTCTATTCAAGGAAGTAAAATCACAGGAAAAAATAGACAACTGTACATAATCTAGCACTAAAAATCAACCTGATTCGAGTTTTCAAGTACCTAAAACCAATACAGATAATGTCTTTATTGAATATGAAATTGAAACTTATGAGCCAATTGGTGACCTAAACATTTCTATTGTATTAATAAAAGGTGTAAGATCATGCACCTGGTACTTTATCTGCAAGTGTATCTCACATGACAAGTTAAATATAAACTTTCGAGCCTTTACTACTAATCTTGACAATGTGTAAATTTCAAAAAAAATTCAAGAAACCCTTAATGAATTAAATTAAAAGATAACAGTTTTTGAAGAAATCAAAGCACTAAAGAAAAATGAAACATGAAAAATTTTAGATTATTGCATTAATAAAAGGTGTAAGATCATGCACCTGGTACTTTATCTGCAAGTACATCTCACATGACAAGTTAAGTACAAACTTTTAAGCCTTTACTACTAATCTTGACAATGTGTAAATTTCAAAAAAAATTCAAGAAACCCTTAATGAATTAAATTGAAATATAGCAGTTCTTGAAGAAATCAAGACACTAAAGAAAAATGAAACATGAAAAATTTTAGATTTGCCCCAAAAAAATTGGTTGGATGTAAGTGGAGCTTCACAATAAATCACAATGTAGATGAAAGTATAAATATATTTAAAGCTAGACTTGTTGCAAAAGGGTTGACTTAATCCTATGGGATAGAATATGAGGAGACATTTGCTTTAACAGTTAAACGTAATTCAATTAAAATTCTATTGTCATTAGTAGCTAACTTAGATTAGCCTTTTCACCAACTTGATATAAAGAATGCATTCTTAAATGGCGACTTAGAGTAAGATGTCTACATAAAAATTTTCTCTAGTTTCAAAAGGCAAGACATCATAGGCAAAGTGTACAAACTCTGAAAATCTTTGTATGGACTTAAACAGTCTCCTTAGGCTTGATTTGAACAATTGATCAGGGCAATGAATAATATGGATTCCTTCAATGTTAATTTGACCATACTATGTTTGTTAATTGCACTAATGAAGGAAAAATAGTTATTCTTATTGTTTATATGGATGATATCATTGAAGATCACAATAAAAGAATAGATGTTTGAAGCAACTTTTTACAAAAAAATTTGAAATGAAAGACTTCGGTTTCTTAAATATTTCCTTGAAATGAAAATGGCTTGGTCTAATAATAGAATATCAATATCTCAACATAAGTATATACTTGATCTACTCAAAAAAATTGACATGACTGGAAGCAAACTTGTCGATACATCCATGGACTCAACTAATAAAATTAGAAGTAAAAATGAAAGCTTTCTTACTAACAAAGGGCGATACCAAAGACTAGTTGAGAAGCTTATTTACTTTTTTACACATGACCTAATATCGGGTTTGCAATAGAAATGGTGAGTAGATACATGAATAATCTAACCAAAAACATCTTAAGATTGTTCATCGCATCCTAGAATACTTAAAGAAGAGTCTTGACGAAAGTTTATATTTTAAGAAGTTAATGGATAGAGCAGTCGAGGTGACATAGATGCTGACTACGTTGGATCAGTAATAGATAGAAAGTTCATTATTGGATATTGCACTTATGTTTGAGAAAATTTAGTCATTTTGAAAAGCAAAAAATAAGCTGTTGTATTTAAGAGCAGTGCTAAAAATGAGTTTAGAGCAATGTCCCATGGTATTTGTAAAAGAATTTGACTGGTGAGGTTACTTAAAGAATTAAAAGTTTAAACTGTGACATCTATGACACTGTTTTATGACAATAAGGCTACTATAAGTATTACCAAAAATCTTGTTTATCATGATAAAATCAAGCACATAGAGTTGGACCGACATTTCATAAAGGAAAAGATAAAAAATTGGTAGATCAAACTAGCATATATCCTTACAAGTTCACAAATTATAGGTATTTTGACTAAAGCTCTTCCTAAAAGCATTTTTTACGGTTTGAAATTTAAAATGAATATGATTAACATTTATAACCTAGCTTGAGAGGGAGTGTAAAAATCTAATTCTCTTACATTAGTGCAAATTTGATTCTCCTATATTAATGCAGCTTAATTTCCTAATTTATTTTAGGAATATTTTTCATTTACTCTTTTAATTTAGTCAACTATTCTAATTATCAAGTTTTTAAGGATTTGTTTTTATTCTAGAATAGAATAATTTTTCTTCCTTTTATTATTTATTATTTATTGTTTCATGTAAGTTATTTTCTAATAAGGAACTCCATTATTCTTATTTATTTAGATGTACTCCTTCATTGTAGCTTGAATAAGAAAAAATATAGACAATTGTTCTTTAAGTTTTCTACATCCACCAAACATTCTTATTTTAAAAGATTGAATTCCAAAAAATTGATTGATTTAGTGCAAATAGATTCTTTTGGTTACTTTCTATTGTTTACTTTTAAAAGTAAAAAGCACAAAATTCATTTGAACACAAAAGCAAATATGTTTTTGAAGGATTATATACCTTAAATTAGTTTCACTTTTATAGATTAGAATGCAAGAAAATATGTTTTGGATGGACTAATATATAATAAAAAGTTCACTTATCGATTACAACATTATACTTATTTCAAGTAATTGTATATCATCAGAAGAAAATTCATTTTTAGCAATAAAAGTGTATGAAATGGTTTATACAAATATTGCTAGATAGTACATCTTTTTTTAGCATAAAAAGTATTATGTTGCAATTGGTCACTATAAAACATTTCCGAGCAATAATGTATACAAAATTGTTACAAATGCTTTTTTCATCACAACTATTTGTAGCATCGTTTAAATACTTCATTCAAGATTTAATGTTTGGATCAATTTTTAAATAAAGATATAATTTTTAATTTGGTCCAAATTAAGAAAAAATATTTCAAGTTTACTCAAATAAAATTTTTTTTACAATAGCGAATAACATACGTGATTTAATAGCGTTATATCTTGAAATATGCTACTGACATATCATTTTTGCACATGTGGCATGGTAGCGTTAACTTTTTAACCTCACTTATGTAATTAAAAAATTAGGTGATAATATATCAAATACTAACTTTTATAAAATTTTGGGCAATTAAAAAAAAGGTAAAATACACCATTGGTCATTCAACCATGGTTATAATTTTAAAATGACTACTTAACTATTAATTTTCTCAACTTAGTCACTTAAGTTTAAGTAAGTTTTTTTTTTTGTCATTTAAACTTTAGTCTTTAACAGCATTACCACATCAACTATCAAGCATCACGTGACATTGCCATGTCAGCTATCAATATGCCACGTGTCATGTCAAATGACGTAATAGTGCTATGTAGTGCATAATCGCTGACATGACAGTCACATTTGTACACAGTTAAAAACTAATTGTTGAGTGACGAAAAAACAAAACATTACTCAACTTTAAGTGATTAAATTGAAAAAAAAATTAATAGCTAAATGATCATATTAAAGATACTCATATAGTTGGGTGACTAATTATATATCTTACGTTTAAAAAAATCTTAACCTAATTTGAAAAATTAATCTCAAACTTAAATGATACCATTTTGGCACTTTATATAAAAAAAAATTAATTCTTATTTTTCTTCCTTTCTACTCTTTCATACTCGAACCTCTCTCTAACCTTACTTTTTTCTTTCACTAAAATTTGAAAACACCAAAGAACAATCATATCCTGCTTGAAATCGATCTATCTCTACCTTTACCACCATCAGCTGCCATTAAAGTCAAAATTTCTCTAAAAGTCATAAAAAATTCCTCATTTCCTCATTCTTCTTTTTTTTTTTTATAATTAGGTTCTTCAAAAAATATTTAAATACTCATAAATCTAGCCCAAAAGCCTGTGACGACTCCACCTTAAGAGTTTCATCTCGCCACTTTAAATGCCTTTATCTTTTAATATGTTTCTTTCTTATCAAATTTGAAGTTTCAAAACTCTCTAAAATGAATTATATCTAAAAAATTAAGAAAGAGAAAATCACCATCTTTTAACATTTTTTTTGTGTGTTTTTCTTGGTTGATTTTGGTTTTTTCCTTTGGTTGTTAAATTATGGTTATTTTTTTATAACTTTTTTAACTTTTTTCTTTTTTTTTTTTAAGAAAAGACTTTTGCTTTTTGAGTTTTTGGATAAAGGAATTATTGTGTGGCGAAAAGAAAAAAAGTTTTGATTTTTTTAAAATATTTTTTCACTTGATAATTAATTTTTTTTCATTTAACAAAAAATTTTATAAACTGTGACAAATTACATATATACACACATGTTGGCAAGCTTAAATGTCATCTATTACTATTATTTAACTTAATGGCATGTGTTATCATTCTCATCAACAAATCCTTATTTAAGTAAATAAAAAAATGCTAGATCTTTAATTGGATCAAATTAAAAATTATGTCCTTAATTGAGAATTAGTTCAAACATTAGACTTTGAATTGAGAATTTAAATTTTTTGTATATTGCAACAAACCCTTTTTGTAGCATAAAAAATCTTATGTTACAAAAGGTGTTGCATTTAATTTTTTATTACAAAATTATGAATAAAAATTATTGCAAAAACTTTTTTTAACACAACTATTTATAACATCTTACATTAAAACATAAAAATTTTGTTGCTAAAAGTCACATTTCTTATAGTATGTTTGATTTGGTATTACATTGTATCCATTTATTCGTTTTTAATGAGATATAATTTATGTTTTAGACTTTCTTTTTGTTTTATAACTTGAAAAAGGTAGAGACTAATTAGCAAAACAAAAAAAAAAAATCAAATACAACTTTAATTAAAGGTTTATTTACTATTAACCTAAATAAAAATGTTAGGTTGTCTCAAATTTTGGGGATTTGTTTTTTAAGCTAATAACTTAGGGATGGAGAAAATTTTTAGCATAATTAGTTATTTTCTTATAAAAAGGAAATATTAATATCTTTTATTATTTTTTTAAAAGAAAATCATGCCATTCAAAAGAAAATGCCTAAAAGAATGAACCTTCTAGCATTGGATTCATTGACAGGTTGTTCTACAAAATTTTCTTTTTTTTTGCTCAAATGAATGTTCTACACATTTTTAAATGCTCTCAATTCCATAACCTGCAAACTTTATGGAATTCAACTATATACATACATATATATATATATTTATCCTTTGAATACAATACATGAGTACCGTTCTTTTTAATTTTTCTCTCAACTACCAAGGCACAACCCTCCTAAAGAATGGATAAAAGCATACATTAGGCTCTCCAAGCTAATATGAAATAATGTAAGCTAAAATTACACATCATTACTTTAAAATTTTCTTTGTTTTCTCTCCAGGAAGAGTTGATAAATTCCCTGTGAAAATTTCCTTTAATCTTTTACATGAAGAAAGACAAATACATTCATCACAAGCTCAATATTAAGTTTCTCTTTTATGGAAATACAAGTATAATAGATCATTAACAAGACATAATAAGCAAAAGCAATACACTGATATATACTAAGCCCGTTGTGATAATGCTTCATAAACTTATTATGGTATATTGATATACATTATTGGTTTTTCTTTGATGGCTTCCATTCTTTGATGATTTCCATTCTTAGCAACATATTGCATGGTTATTTTGCCTTAAGTATTTTAGAGGTTTTGTTGCAACTTATGTATAAGTATTCTAAAGGTGTAATATTAGCTATTATGGTGTTTGTGATCTTTAGTTTCTCCTTTAATTAATTTGTTTTTAAATTTCAAGTAGAACTTTGTTCTATGTTTAATTTGCTGGTTTTTTGTTGTTTTTGCAATCTCTTGATTGCTTAATAAATATTTTTGGTTGCATTCAAGTGTTTGATTTCAGGGTTGGTGTATGATCAATCCCCTGCTTAAAGAGTAAAGCTCAAATCTTTCTTTTTCAAAATTAAGAAAATGTTTAATATACCATCAATATGCATAAATCTTCAAATTATTTTTTCATAAAAAAATGATTTAGGTTTACATATATATATATATATATTATACTAGCTAGTGAAAGGTATATAGTAATAGAAAGTCTATAATCTATCCATCATGCATGGGACAATAAAAGCAAAAACAATATTGTAATATCAAGTGTATAAATAATGTATTAAAAAGACATTAATGTAGCTTCTTTATAAGATTATAATCATATTAATTAGGGAAGAGAAAAGATGAACAAGAAAGATAAACTGAGGTCATCCAAATTAGGATTGTAATTGAATAGAAGAAAAATGAAGCCTTAGTTAGTTTAAAGATGATGTTTGGAAGCTTCCAAATGCACAGAATTCAACTACAATGATAAAACATTATTACTATATATAGTTCAATCCATGGATTTGTAAGTTTGCTTTTCAATCCATTGTTTAAAACTGTTGTATTTGGATTTTTTTTTTGTTGCTAAATCAGGTTTGATTTTATTAATAGAAAATGAAACTTGGTAAGAGGTAACCCTCTACCAATACAGCCCAAACTACCATAGTCCTTCCATAACAAAACTACAAAACCTAGAAATCATAGGCCACATGATTCATTCACCATAACATAAATATATTTGATCTGTCCACTACTACTTTCCCCAGCACATGTCCCATTCAATTCGCCTTATGACAAATGATAACCTTTTAAACTAGAAACATCTCTCTACTTAATACCTCAATTGTTGAACAAACATCCTTAAACCTTCATGGTCGATTGCTCTCACTTTGATACTAGCTCATACAAATTTTGAGTCAGACTCAATTACCAACACACCTTATGCCTCTATGCTGTTTTCATAAAAATTTCTAAGGCCATTTTCATGGCAAACAATTTAGCTTCATTAAAGTCTTATATAACCCCACCAAACCAAAAAACATGGCTAACTCCTTGGCGTCTATTGAAATTGATACAACCACCTTTTGTTGATACCAGAAACCTATCCAATTTACTTCTTTTATTTCCAGGACCAATCCAAGTATAATTTATCCCATTTAGTTGGATAACAAGAAGTTCACTATCGTAATATTTAGATTTGTAAAAGATTATGACTAAAGGGGAAAGTTTGTGTTGTAATATTTAGAGCTATTACTCCTTTCTATTATAAGAAAATGAACTAATTATACTATACATAAATGTAATATCTTTAATGTTTTTAAGTTATTGTTATAATCTCAAACTTTCTAAACTTAATATTTGCATACATGTTAACAACAATGTAAGGAGAACTTCACCTTTTTACATGGCAAATTCTATTTAATGTTGACTTTAAATGAAGAGAAGAAAACCCAAACTTTTTCCTATAGTAATTAGTATTAATATTTTCATGTAAATCTAAATAGCCATCGATCGTTTCTCAGATAACAAAAAAGAGAGAGAGGGGGAAAGAGGGAGAGAAAGAATTAAGAAGATTAAGAAGATCTGACTGACCTAGTGCTGGCATAATCGTAAAGCTTGTCGGTGCTAGAAAAGATGATCAAACCGACCTCAACATCGCAAAGGATAGATAACTCCCTTGCTTTCTTCAACAACCCATTCCTTCTCTTAGAGAAAGTCACTTGCCTACTTGTTGAATTATCTATCCTTCTAATCAATATCTTTCCTCTTCCCATCTTTTCGTTTGGTTTGTTATAAACAATCTTAGCTAGGGTTATTCCCTTCGCTTCTCTTTTCCTAGATCGCCATAGTTATCGTCCAACAAATACCTCAAATCAATGTCCCAAAAAAAAAAAAAATACACCAACACAAAAACATAACATATACTAGTCAAAACCAAGTAAAAAAAAAAAAAAGGAAAACATGATTTTGAGCTATAAAAAGATTTATAGATTTTTGCAAAGAAATATAAAGAAAAAAGCTTACTTGTTTTAAACTGATTGTGGAGAAAATAAGTTGAAAGATAGATTCAAAGAGACGCAAACCTTTTCCTTTTTTTTTTTCTTATTTGGAGAGAAAGCTTTTTAGAAAAGAAAATATGAACTCAAGAGGAAAAAAATATTTATGCTCTAAATGGAAAGCTAAAAGCGGTTTTCTACCATTTATGCTCCAAGTAAAACCTCCCTTTAGACCTTTTTGAAGCTTACTTGAATTTTTTTTTTAAATTGAAGAGAAATATATATTTTTAACCCTTTTTTTAATGGAAAAAATGATGAAAGCATGCATATGCATGTGCATGTGTTTTAGTCACTCTGATTTCCAAGTTTGTATAAATTATTTTTATTCTCTTTGCTTATTGTAGTGGAAACACTTCTAGTATTTACTATGTATCACGAATCGATCCAATTTCATCTTCTTTAAGGTTGGGGCATTTCAGTGTCATTGCTCTAGCATTGTCTGATGCAACCATAGGCAGATTCATGTGGAAGACACAATCATCGCCCACCACTAGTTTCTGCCTTTGCACGCCCTTTTCGAGCTTAGTCCAATGGGGAAACAGTCGTACAAATGAGCCATAGGCTTTGGAGTTTTACAATGATTTTGAGGACTTGATCATTTGGTTTTTAATTTATATATACCCATAATTAATCTATAACATACATAAAATCAAATTTATGTTTATTATAATCCACCTTGAAAAGGCATATATATATTTATAGCATAAAGAAATTATCACATTTACTAATTTAAAAATAAGAAATTATCACATTTACTTATAAAAAAATTTAAACTCTATCATTGAAATTAGTAAAATGGCATATATCATTTAAAATATTAAAAACAAAAAAAAATGTAATGTGAAATTATTTTTTAATTTTGTTTATAAAATTAAAAAATTTACTATCCAATATATAAAATTAAAAATCTATAACTTTACTAATTATTTCACTTTATTTTATATAACTTTTAGGGGGACCAGTCTACATGTCTCCAAGTCATTTAATATTGGATTAAGTGTGAAGTGTTTGTAGACAGAGCTTCTGATTGGGCAGACCCATGTGATCAGGATTCCAATATCCAATTGAGATACGGTGTTTCCTCGTAATAGTAAAGTCCTAGGATTCAAAACGCTCTAATTGAGGAACAGAATTTAAGTACAATACTAATGGAACTACCTGCTAAGTTTTGATCCCTTCAAAATATGGAGCTTGGCCAAGTGTCAATCATCATCAGTACATCATGGGTTAATTTTGACTAAGTACAAAAAGTTTGGTGCATACCCCCATTAGTCACCATCTTTCCTGGTTTTTATACTATATATACGTTCTTGGCAGATGTGATTTCCATTAGTCAAGGAAAATAAGGGAAAATAATTTACTGGCTTTCAATGCTAGGAACGAGGAAAAGAAGCAAAAGAGTTCGAACCCCATTGATATATATATATATATATATATATATATAGAGAGAGAGAGAGAGAGAGAGAGAGAGAGACCAATAAATGTTAGGTATCGATTTTAAATTGGCGAAAACTATCGCCTAAATGAGCTATTTAAGTTAATAACGGGTTCAACAAGTACAATAATTTAGAAATGATAAAAAAACCTTAATTGTTTTTCATCAAGATGATAAGAAAAAAAAAGTTGATTAATCCCTTAACAGATATTAATTGCATTTTTAAAAGGTATTCACACTCAAATCCCAATTTTAATATGGGAATTTGAATAGATTAAAACGTGTTAACACTCAAATCCCAATTTAAAAATGGGAATTGGAAATAGTTTAAAGGGTGTTCACACCCAAGTCCCAATTTTAAACTAGGAGCTAATTTACTTGGATTTTACGTAAAGAGACGATCATATTCAGAACTTGTGATTAATTTAAATTAATCACATGCTTGCTGTACAGGCAAAAGGATACGTGTTGCAGGTTTTTGCAATATCAAGCCAAAACCGATCTCCTCCACCTACTTTTTTCATACATATTGGAGAAGGTTAAGCAACTGATACACGGAATCTTGCAACTCCACCAATGCTATTCCAATAAAAAAAAAAAAAAGTATTCTTTGGTTTTTCTGGGAGAGGTGATTCGCGTATTACTCTTTTCTTCATATTCCTCGCATCAAAATATATTCTGATTTCATACCTACCCTCAATTCAAAGTGATCAAATATACGAAGAGTTGTTATTCATGTTTAATTGAAGGTTTATACATATATATATATATAAATTATTGAAAATTTGAAGTTGATCATTAGAATTAAAAATTCAGGATTATACGAATAAATCACATGATTATTAATAATTAAATATTGATTTAATATTTATATATATTTTGCATATTCAAGGATTATTATATGAATTATACTTTTTGGATAAATGGCATTCCATTAATCCAGAGTAATAGAAGGCTTACTACCAGTCAACAATCAAAGAATGAACCTTAACACTTTTTTATACAATCCCTCAATTTTACATACAAAACTAATAAAAGAATTATTCATAATTTTTTACGAATTTTAAAAGACAAAATTTTACATTAAAATTATGTCTTACAAAATATTTTCAATGTTTTATATGAATTATATTACTTTATATACTGTTAATAAAGTTTTTAAAATTTACAATTAAAGTTAAAAAATTGTCACATTTTTTTATTTATTATAATTTTTTAAATATATATGGAGTGCTACTCTAACATCGATAGATTTTTTAGACTTTACTAATTGTGTATTAATTATTTTTTTATATATTGTGATAATATTTTCATCACACCTTTTAATCAATTTTTATATCATATTTTGCTTGCAAATTTAATAGAGTGCATTAACTTTTGTTACATATTTATTTGTTATTAATTTTCGAAACAATAGTTCAATTATATAATAATAACTGTGGGTCTAATCGTAAATAGCATAATAAAAGTTTCGCTGTCAATCAATCATCTTATTGTTTTTAATTTCCAATTAAGAATATAATGAAATTATATAAAGATTCGAAGTATGACAATAGCATATATATCGTCATTAATTTGATAAATATAGTGTTAAACTTAATTTAACAGAGTAAATTGTGATGAAATGATATAAAAATGATTTTTAATTGGGAGGAGAAATCTGTTTTCGTTAGACATTTAAACCTGCAATGGATATATATATATATATATATATATATATATATAACATAATTTTATTTAAATATATAGTTTTCTCAAAAGATATCTTGTTTCAACTTCATAAATAAACTATTCTCTTAATTTTAGAAAAACCTTTCTATTTTTTTGATTCTATAATTTCACAAATTGATTTGACCTTTCAACCTACAAATTAAAACTCTACAATTACTTAAGAGAATTTTCAAATAAAAAAGTATTTAATTTCAACAATTATTAATTTCTTCACTCCATTATCACAATTAATTCATTCATGAGAGGAAAGTGAAAAGTTTAATTCATTAAACCCATAGATGATAAAATCTCTTCCTCTTTCTTATCCAACTATTTTCATATCAATATGTTTAATGTTGTTGACCTTTCAAAAGCTCTTATAAGAAAACCTTAAACAAAAATGATACCAACTTTTAATCTTTCAGTTTTCATCCAGATTTTGTTTCTCAAAAAACAACCTCTTCGATTTGTAAGTATTTTTTATATTTTTACTTAAACTCTTATGATTTATTGATGAAAATACTCACTAATTTATAATTCTTTTTTGCAGAATCCATAAGTTAAAATACCTAACTTATAAATTCGAAAGATATTAAAAAATCTAATCATGAATTTATTAACTTGTGTTGTAAAATTCTCAACCCATTTCAATTTTTTTTTTTATTCATGACAGATCTTCACATTTGTTTTTAAAAAGTTTACTATTTCAAAGGTTAATAAAATAGATATGTATAAATATATTTTAGTGTTTTTAATTATTGTTATTATTGAATTGTAACATCATGCCAGAAACTACCCAAAATATATGAGAGAACATTAATGTAAAACTTTTTAATTTTATATATTTTTAGTCATTGATTTCAATACATTAAAGGATAAAATTAAACTATTTTTTTATTTGTTTTTCTAATTCATTTGATTTATTTAAATCAATGATTAAAAAAATATAAAATTAAAAAAAATTTCACTACAATAACTGGATCCTGAGGGATCCATATATACAGTGTAATTCTTACACTCTTTTGAACCTTTAAATCAAAATTATTAAATTTAAAAATATTACTAGGTGGGTTCCTCCAACATATATATATTACTAGGTGGAGTGCCATGCATCCACCACTCTTTTTTTTTGTTTTATCATGCTATTCATCGAGTTTTTTTTTTTTTTGTAAAATTTACCTAATAAAAAAAAACAAACAGTGAAAAGTTAAAAATAAAATCAAATGGAGATGATATGTTGATATCTCAATCGACCTCATATTCTTATAAAAATTATTTTTAAAAAATAAAAAACAATAAAAAAGATAAAACTGAAAAATGAAAATCATAAAGAGTACCATATGGACAGTTTATCATGTTTAAAATATTAATTTTTTAAATTGAGTTTCAAATATATATAGTTATAAAATTAAATTAATAATAAAATATATACTTTTATATATACCTTGAAATAAGTTAGGTTAAATTATCCTAAACAAGCTTCCGTCCCATTTTATTTCTCATAAAATTTGACTTATCCCAAATCGATTTTGACTTTAAAAAATAAAAAAATAATTGTTTTCTTACAAATTTA